TTAGGTTCATAATTAAAAACTCGGCTGTTGAAAAATGCATAACAAAAACTTTCACATTTCCCTAAACTCATTATTGAATTTCTTTAACTATACTGTATTCCTGCTCAATTTGTCTTCGTTTTTATTGCTTTGTATTAAATTTTTCGGTTTAGTGTAAGCACCTTACTAGTCGTACGTTAACTGTGCAACTTTCTTGAAATATAATTTTTATCGTAAGAAATTTTCTTCTTGATATTTTTTAATTTCTGTTAACACTGTATACATTTAACCAACGACGTTTGTGTTCTGCAAGTCACGTCATTATCATGTTAGCATTCCATTAACATATAAAATGTTTCATAAAGTTTAAAGTATTTCAAAATTGAGTCGTCAAACTAGAATTCTTTTATATCGAATGAAAACAGTAAAACTTAGGTAAAAAACTATTAGTGATTTCAAGTCTTTTTTTTCTAGATTAATTCAAATTAACTTTATAATACTCTCTCTCTCTCTCTCACCACTAACCAATACAGTAATTGAATGAAACTTTAACAGCATTGGATTAGAAAGGTATTTGTTTTGTATTTGTTGTTAAGCTACACAATGGGCTGTCCATGCTGTGCCCACCACATGAACGTATCTGTTCATGTTGAATGACAAATCCCATGCTAATACTAGCTGACAACTTTAGTTTCAAGTGATGTTTCGTTTTCGTTGTTGTTGCTAAACATAAAGCTACACACTGAGCTACCAGTGCTGTGTCCGCTGCAGGGATCAGAGCTCGATATTTTGCACTATAAGCCCTGAAACTTACTACTAAACATTCGAAGGGCCTTCGAGCCGTGTGAACACTCAATACTTCAGTTAGGTAGGTAAAAAAAAACTATCCAATGAAGCTTTACACACTTGTGTGAGAAACAGTTTAACGTAGATTGTGGTTATAAATCCACATTTCAGCCTTATGCTCTTCACACTGCAGTTACTCAACTGTTGTGAGATATGGGATTTATTTTATCATATTTCGGTATATATGCTTAAAATTCAAGGTTGAAAATATCAGAGTACTACAAGATTTAACTGGAAAGTTAGATAGCATCAAGCTATCTATCACTACGGTGAAAAAGTATTTCTATATTAAAATATTTGTCAAACATTCGAGATTCTAGAGAGTTTTTGTTTCTACAACGGTTATCACTTAGTTATATTAATATATTTTCTTAAACTTTTGTGAGCATGCCTAATAATTATGGTAATATTTTCTTTATTCTACATTTTGAGAACATGCCTAATAATAATAACTAGAGCATTCAATTGAATACCATTGTTTCTGGATTAGATAATGCTTACATCAGGTTTAAAACAGGAAGCAATTCTCTTTGAACATTTTAATAGTAAAATAATTTTAAAAATTGGCGAGATTTGCTGCATCTTCCCAACTACTCTGCGACCCCACCAATGGAGTCGCGACCCCCCCAGTTTAAGAACATCTAGCTTAGAACAAACTAGAAAGACTATATATATATATATATATATATATATATATAACTATTAGT